AGAAAATCATGATAGTATAATGCGAACATGGCGTGATAAAGGACCATAATATGCAATCGGAATGAAGTGCTCTTCGTATTTCGTTCATGAAGATTTTAAGGCACATTGTGTATAACGGTTAGCAGTGTCAACTTCTAAATTATTGATGATCTTCATGACCTAATTTTTGCAGTTCGACGCATCAGGATTAAAGGAATCGAAGTGAACACGTTGGATTTATAATTCATGAGAATTTCGCCCTGCAGAAACGCCCAGCCATATGGGTGTCAAAATGTCTGAATACAGACGGGAAGCGACATCGACTGAATTTTGTCACATATAAATTTGGCAAAGGATTTATCACTGTTGTTGAAACAGATACAACTCTATAATCTGGAGACCCAAGAACAGTCTATGTAATGTCAGGAATCGGGTTATCGACGGTGGGAAAAATGAATTACTTAAAAAGCAATAAGGAATGTTTTGGATATGATTTTGTGAATAAACAAAGTGTTTTGATAATGATCTTAACAATGGCCAAATAAGCTAATGCAGAATTCAGCATTAGTCGTGCGAATTAAAAGAGCTATTGAAAGAGAAATAGAGAAAAGATCTGCCGAAAATTGTTCTGTAATTATGAGACAATGCACCAACTCAGTGTTGGTAAAAGTAGAAATTATTTGGTACAGAGTTAGACTCAGTGGAAACATGACGAGTAATAACTAAACACTACGAAATAAAAAGACTACCTATCCATAGATAATCCAAAGAGTAAAATAATGGTTCATTTTTAAATTCCTTAAAATGTGATTGTAATGGTAACCCTTTCTATATAGCAAGCGTTAGACGTTCACTGACCGAATTCTTAGCGTTACTGTCGGTTGAAATTTATAAAATGTTTCTCTTAATGTTTTTGCAATAAATGCTATCGCTGGGTTTTTTTTATCGATGAGAGTCTCCTTCTTAGCATCTTCTTGAAAGTAGTGTGGAAAATCAGAATCTCCATTATATCATTATTTTCTCTTTGGGTTATATGTTCTAAATAATAGTTTAGCAGACTATTATTTTTATAAACAGTGTATCTTGGCTCTGTATTCCGGAGGTTGACAGATGGGGTCAGATGCGAATCATAAGCCAAGTCAATTTTAGTTGGCTGAGCTAGTGTGAAAAAGAGATAGCATAAAATGTTTGTTTCTTACCCATCAAGTGATGTAGACGTATTCTCTTTCGCGTCCGAAACGGCTCCCAAGTGAGGAGGGTGCTAACCCGACTTGATAGTTTCATAATATACATAAGTAATAAAAATAGTTAACATTCAATGTCTAGAGTCTTTCATTGTGAACCGAAACGATTGGTGATCGTCGGCCAAGAGAAAAAGCCGAGCTGAGATCATTCACTGTCTACTTGCTATATATATATACTATCCATTTTAGTTGTAGTTGCTTTTTGGGGTAAGCTATTGATATGACTTTTGTTATTTGATTCATTTAGTATTCATTCTGTATCGCCAGTCTGCAAGATACGACGAAATACAGTCTTCTCCTTAAAAGCCACAGGACACATAAACCAGAAGCCATATTTAATCATCGATCCGAGAAAAAGGTTTTATATATCAGGTCATCCCATAAGTTCTGTCCGAATTTTGAATAAAGAAAACAAGTGACCAAATGTTACATTTAATTACAGATTCAATCAACAATGTATTTTCCCTGATTATCTATGACTTCCTTCCATCTATTAACAAGCTTACTAATTCCATTACTGTAAAATTATTTTGGCTTTGATTCGAAGAACTCACAAATGTCAGTTTTAAACTCTTCCTGTGTTACAAAAGCTGTTTCTTCCAAATGATTATGTAAGCTACGAAACAAATGGTAGTCTGAAGGAGCAAGATCGGGAGAATAAGGTGGGTGAGGAATTTTCTTCGATTTTTTGTAACGTGATTCTTGCTGTGTGGGGTCTCACATTGTCCTGATGAAACATCACCTCTTTTCGATTCACTAGAGCAGGTCTGTTTTCCTCAAAGCTTGGTTCAAACGCTCTAATTGCTGACAGTATATTTGAGCATTAATTGTTACATTAGGTGGTAAGAATTCAAAGTGGATTATTACTTGGCGATCCCACCAGATTGAAAGAAGAAACTTTTGCCCATGAAGTTCCCTTCTCGGCTGTGGCTGGGGTCCTTCCTCTTTACCAAGCCACTGTCTACGACGCGTAACATTTCGATAAAAGATCCATTTTTCGTCGCCAGTCACAAGTCTATCCAATAAAGGTGAAACAAGTTGGCGACAATGGAGAGAAGAGCAGATGTCAACTCGGGATTTGAGGTTGTTTTCAGACAATTCATGAGGCACCCATTTTCTAAGTTTAGGAACTTTTCCAAGTTGTTGAAGACGACGATGAACAGTTGAATGGTTTCTAGCCGCTTCGGCTGCTGAGTTTCCTTTCTTGAACTCATAAAGCATTATGTGCCTCAAATGATTCTTGGGTACTTCCATGTTAGCAGGGTTTAAATCAAACAAAATTTAATTTTATTGTTCTCTGAAATAAAATTTGATCAGTTTAAATGCATCTAAACATAAAAATAATGTTAGCTCCATTAGACATCATAAAATACTCTTTAAATTTCGTTCATTTTAACAAAAAGTTAAAATTCGGACAGAACTTATGGGATGACCTGATAGTTGGTTGTTTAGACTTTTTTGAACAGTTTGGACGTCATGCATTATTTCCTTACCGGAGTTTATATCTATCGAGGTTATGTAATATAATAACGGTAATCTGGATAGACCTGAAGAAAACCGGAAGAAAACAAGGATCGAAACGTTTGATATTAACAACAGATATTAGGATTTTAGTCTGAATGAAAAAATGTCAAGAATGACTTCACATTCTAGAAATTTTCACTGGAAGACAATAGAGATTTTGAATAATTTAACGTTTGACTACAGGGCCCATCCTAATTATTTACAAAATCTATCTCCCTTTGTTTCCTGAACTAATTCTGGAGGGACATCGAAAAACGTGGACAATGTAGTCAGGCATGGCTGCTCATGTATAGACGGAAGAAAGTAGTCATAGGATCAAGAGAAAATACCGAAGTAGGAAGAATCTAGAGAGTTAGACGCCTGAAAAAGTCAGCGCATATGCCACACTATAAGGATCTCTTTAGTAGGCTTAGCATATAAATATGTAAATAAAGAAAGAAGGGAAAATGACTGCAAATTCCCGGCAGAAGCAGCAGCAACAGCAGCAATCAAGCATAACAAGTGTCAGCAGTACTAATTCGCTTAGGTTTAAAGCTCCAAATTCACCATTAGAGAATTGTTCTGGTGTTGGTTCGTGTATTTAGTGACATAATAATTGTGATTTCTTTCCCTGGGCCCGGCAGTGCGTACTCAGGGGGAAGAGGCGAGCAGTAACTGAGCAATACTCAAATTAAGAACTAGAGGAGATATCCCTAAACATGGGGAGTCTAACACCGTAGATTAAATAAAGGTTACCCAGATCGATATGAACCTGATGAAGGCTGAAGGGCAAAACAGCCGAAACGCGGTGATAGCAAAAAAAAAAAAAGATGAGGAAAATAGTCAAATTGTAAATAATATATTAATATTTCGCGAGGTAGTCATGGAGAACCTTATTATTGATGCTCCTTATTTGTAGCCTTGTGTCAATACAAAACTTAGTAAATACAAGCAGTAAGGCAGATCGTTTGTTTGTGTATACTGTCGCCTTATCTGGTTGCAAATATTTGAAACATTATGACAGGATCTTCAAATGCAGATGATACGTTTGTTCTAATCTGCCTTGAACTGTTTTCTAATGAAATTATTAGTGAATAAATGACTTTCTGGAGATGCAATATTTAAAAACTGAATAGTAGATATCTTTCGAACGTTATCCTTTCCGGGAAGGAAACGAAAAGAACCAACTTGATTACCGGTTCATAATAATTACGACTGACGACATTGCTAGTGGTTATCAGTGGAGTTTTCTGGCAAATATTATTTCGAGGATAAATATTTGATTTTGGCTCGACTTCTTCTACTAATGAAACTGATCGCTATCGTTCGTCGATATTATTAAAACGCACATTAGAAAATATAATAAATAAGTTCTGAAATAAAATAGTCTCATTATCCTTTGAATTATTCAGTTTCTTATATTGAACTCAGCTTTTTCAATGATGTCTGCTATTGGCTGTAATCTCTATCTATAAAAGGCAGGACGTGTGTGTGTGTGTGTGTGTGTGTGTGTGTAACGAATGCACAGCCGCAATTTTCGACGGATTTGCACCAAAATTTACATGCACATGCTCCAAGTTAGCGGAAAGGCCAAGACCGACCTTGCATTTCCCAACTCCCATCGATAGTGGAAATAATCGATTTTTTTCATGCTTCTACGGCAGTTTTCATATAGTTTGCGGCCATTTTCTGCTGGCCAGAGTGAGAGCCAATAGCTGGCTGCCACGAATAGGCAGGAAGATTCAATTGGCCAGCGTGAGAGCCAACAGCTGACTGACACGAATGTTAACTAGCATGCTAGCATGCAAAAGAATCGATAGCTGCATTCGTCACAAGTGGGAGAAATTTAAATCTGCATGGCACTTTACTCCAATTGGCTCATTCGCTTGCTTAAACTCAACGTTGATTCTGATTCCGCAGAAATGGGTTTGGTTGTGAAAAAGTATTTGTTGTTAACATTCTTTTTTCATTCGTTTTTTCCAGTTACGAGTCCTTTTTTTAAAGCTGATCGTTTTGTATTCATTTTTTTTTAGTTCTTTTTTCGTAACAGATTTAATGTTTAGTATAGAGCTTAGAAAAAATTCGCAGTGTGAGATAGGCAGGAAGTAAGGCATGTAGCAACATCAGCACGGCAAAGGGCACTCCTTTAAAGGCAAGAAAGGGCAAAAATATTTTAAGTCAAGTGATAGCGATTGTACGATTTTTGAATCAAGCACGTGCAACGCCGGCTCATGCTGCTAGTCTTTGAATATAACCCCTTGTATCGTTTACAGTTACGGCCATATCATATTGAAACATTGGTTCTCATTCGATCACCAAAGTTAAACGAGGTTGAGCTTGTTCAGTATTTAGATGAGTCACCGTTTAGGAATACTGTAAGCTTGCATGTGCGGGTGGTCGGAGAAAAAAAACTGTTAGGAATGAGAAAATGGCGTGCCGAGATCGAATTCCAATCATTATACCCATTTTCTAAAGGTATATATCCGCGTAAGGGAATATAACAAACCCGACTGGAATTCGAACTCTGGCTTTGCTGACATGTGTTAATTACGCAAGATTTTATGCTCTCTCCCAGAAACAATTTTAGTCCTGGGTATGACGATAAACTATATCTGGCAGCAGGCGTCTGATCGGGAGATTCGAGGTTTCGAGGAGGGTGGAACCACAACTTAATTACTGTTATTCTCTGGTCCATCATAAATCACTGTGGTAGCACCTGTTAAGGTCCCAGCTATGAGCAAATAATGAACCCTTAAATAAAAACGAAACCCTATAAAAGTATACAAATACATTGTATACTAAAGATAACAGCAATACATTTTTATATAAAAAAAAGATTACCAACAATACGTATTAGTAGTGAAATTATCACCAGTACCTATTTAACGTAGTATTACTAACAATACATTTTATGTATAGATGGAAGCATACAATTGCATTCAAAATATTTAGACTTCGCCATTGATAACCAATAGGGATGTTGATATGCCGTTAAACAAAAACCAACCAAAGCCAGAAACTACCTAAACTCCTCCTAATATCGATGCAGTATAAAACCACGGGTGGGCGTTGCAAAAAAAAACAAAAAAAAAACAATATGACTGTGCAGGCGCCTGCAACAGGAATAGGTTAAACTAACTGACGGGTATAAAAGGAAACGAAGAGTCGGCCATTATTATTATAGCAAATCAATAAAAATTATTAATATTTTTTTATGTGTATCCCTGGTGATTTGTGAAATGCTGAGCTTGATTGACAGCACGCCTTCTCAAATCTCTAGGATTTTTCTATTATATCATTGTTATTATTATTATTATTATTATTATTATTAGTAACATCTATGTGTTTGGTGATCACAACAGGGAAATGAGTGACATGTGTCTGAATATCTTCAACGCTCTCCAAAGAATTTTCGCCGACCCTAAAAAACTTCTTGCAAATGACATTGAAAGCAGTTCAATTGCTCTAATGTTTATGGACACTATCATAATTTGAATCATAATTTTGATTTGTCTTATTTTAATTTTTTATCTTTGAGCAAGCTCTTGATATTTCCCAATAGCTTAAAATCTTTTTTTTATTTTCCCCGCTGTTGTTAACAAGATCGAATACATTGGCGAATCGCTAACTGTTCTACACCATATTGAGAAAGTCCGCGATTTAACATCTTCTGAAAATAGCTTTACACGATATTCAAGATTTTTAGAAACACACACTCTCTTTGTTTGCTTGCGTTTGTGTGAGTAGAATGGAAAAACAATATCTGTTACAAATTCTAGGTTTTTTTTTTCTCCTCGTGACGAATAAGTCATTTAATATCTGGGAACAGTTGTAAAGGAACTTGCCGAAAATGTGTGTAATATTCCGAATACTTTTTACAATCGTTGGACAATTTTCATGGAAACAACATAAAAAAAAGCTGCTGAAGGGGTTCTCCCCCTTTTACACAAATGGACTCACCCAGTGTGTACATATACTACGTCTACGTGAAGACCCGAGAGAGCAAGACCGATGAGTCGAGTGGAGTCCAGAGTGACAGAATAAAAGGTTGTAGGTAACCTGAAGAGTGAGGGTAAGATAACAGCGTTGTAGGAGTCGCAGTGAGCGAGCACGTAGACTCAGTAAGAAGTCATACAGCGATACTTCAATACCAAAGACTGTATATATATATTTGCTACTAACCCGTATTCCTGGAACTACTAACCTGCATTACCAGTTTGTATTATTACGTTAATACATTATTTTCATATATTCATTCCTGGCGTTTGTTATTTATTGGTACCGGATTTCAACTCGGAATTCACAACAAAAACGAAACATAGGCAGTGTAACTGTTATTTCATTACAGATCCGACATCTGAAATGAATTCAGATTCACATCATACCACTGTGAGTATAATAGATTTTAGCATCACGTAATGAAAATAACCTCACGATTACATGTGCGCGTTGAGGTGCGAACTCACTGTATTGACGGTAGGATTCCGTGGTTTTTTATGAGCAAAAAATCTGGGTTTTTGTTGTTATTTTTTTTTAAATTATTAATCATTTCACCCCATGCAAGGCGGGAATGCCACTACTATGCAGAAAGTTACATGGAGTAAAAGTAAAAGACTGAGAATAGGGACAATTGAAGAAAGGACAAAAGATAATCCAAATTCAAGAAGACATCATATGGCGATTAGTATTGCATTTAAATTTTGAAGGTTGTAGTTATCAGGGAAGCAAGGAAACGGAAGAGAGTTTCGCAGGTGGGAAATGTGAGTAAAAGTGGAGGTTGCATTTAGCTATTTCAGCAATAAAATGGTGGGACCTAATTGCCAATCTAGTAGCACGTTAAAATTCGTGTACTCAGGGCACCAGGGAAAATAGCTCGTAAGAACTGTTGCCATATTACATATCCTTCTTTGGATATTGTTAAGAATCTCGAGATGTACAGCAAGAGCACCAGACCAGATATGGCGACAATATTTGATGCACGGGCGAAATGTAGATTTGTAAATGATGCGCAAGATGGATTCCAACGAGAAAAAATCTTCTGGCACGGCACAGTGACCCAACTTTCCTTGCAGTAGATGCAGCTATTGATTCGATGTAGTCGCTCCATTTCAAGAGAGTGGAGTCTAGCGTCAGCTATGCATGCTGATGAATAGGCTTTGTTATCTATGATAGTTAAATGAAAGAAGCTTTGTTTTGAAGGCGTTCAAATTTAGAAGCCATTTCCTGCATCAATTAAGCACTGATTAGAGGTTCTTTTAAAGAGCACCTGCCAGATTTACTTTGTCAGATCTGACGGATTTGCTCCTGAGACAGGCGTAAAGGATAATGTGATCTGCATAAATAGCTCGTTGGGAACTGATGAAGTCGGGGATATCATTGATGAATATCAGAAACAACGTAGGACCCAGAATAGAGCCTTGGGTGATACCCGCGTTCGTGCGAAATTATCTGGCTACAGGTATCGATGACATACGGACAATTTCAGACTTGACATTTTAAAACAAGCAACTAGGTCTAATGACTCTGTAAAAAGTCAGAGATTGCTTTTACACGGTGTCGATAATAAAATGGTAAAAACAAATCAATATTTTTCGATTTTTACAAATCCTTCCCGAAATATATTTCCTTATTTCATAAGTAGAATGTCCCAAAATGTGTTTTGCTGTTAGATTGGTATAGCACTGTTTTTCTTGGTAGTGTTATTGATAATAATCTGACAGTAATTATAAGGAGTACAATGACTTTGTATTAAATGTATATCCACCGCACTTTGCACAGAAAGTAGCCAGATTTGGAATATATTCCGGTGGGACGGATCCCAGCTAATTGTCTTAAATTAGGCCAGCAATACCTGTCCCCAACATACTTTCCTTGAAAAAAAAAAAAATATATATATATATATATGTGTGTGTGTGTGTGTGTGTGTGTGTAGAGAGAGAGAGAGAGAGAGAAAGATAGAGATAGAGAGAAAGTGAGGGTGGTTTAAGGGATGGAGGGAGAGAAAGAGATAAGTAATGTTGACCTAAGGTTTGTTTTCAATAATAGCAGCAGCTAATTCAGATGTATCAGAAGTTGACATTTTTCTTTCTACATTGAAAATTTGTTTCGAAATGAGCTCACAGAACAAGAATCCATTATTTGAGAGCGTTCGGCATATAAAATACAATTATCGAGCCAAGATAAAATAAGGCCGATTTCTTTTTCGTTATTTTTATTTATTTTATTTATTTTTAGCTTAAAAAGAATTACAAATCAGGATTTCCTCAGATTAACCACAAGTCACGCGAACGGACAGAGAGAAAAGATCTCGTCCATTTTGTTGTTGGTTATTAAGAGATATTATATTCCGAAGAGGGGATGATTTGCTTAATCGATAATGACGTGTATCTTAAAAATCAAAAGTGATAGCGAAAATGCGGAAATGAAAATTAGATTAGGAAAGAGCTGACGAATTCGGTGCATAAAAAAGATGGTGTCTGACAAAAAAGAGCAAAAAGAATGAACGATAAATATGGTGCTTAGAGGAAAATAAATGAAGATTAAGATAATTAAAAGTGTCTAGTGGATTGCAAAAAATATGGTGGCAAAATTCCTACAGAATTACCCGAAAGAAAAATGGCGGTGCGACAAAAAAAAAAAAAAAAAAAAAAAAAAAGAAAATAAAAACGATGATTTTTTGATTGGTTGATATTTTTGACGGCTTATCAACATTTTACAGGTTATTTATAGCCGGAAAATATATATATATATATATATATATATTTTTGTGGTAAGAGATTTTTTTTTAGTTAATCATTATTTATTGATACAAGTTCTAGTAAATAACCCATAGCTAGGGCTAGATGATATGAATTTATACTTCTCTCAAGGTTATTTTCGCGTAAGTAAATATGACAAACCCGACTGGAATTGGAACTCGACTCTCCGATTTCCAATTCCGAGCCGTTATCTATTACACTACTGCACATCCAAGCTTACTTCGACGATCGTTCGGGAACCCGTGTTTCAACGCGATACGTAAAAAAACATGGTGACGTTAAGGAAAGTCAAAAAGGTAAACGCTAGCAATCATGATAGTAATAATGTTGTTGTTGATAATCTCAGAGACTCCTCTGTGGAACATATCCCGAAAATCTCAAAAGCTAGGTGTTGCTGTTGGGCCTTTCGGGACGAATATCTTTTTTTTTCTTTTTCAGGATAAAGTTGATATCCCTACATTCAAGAATTTGAATTAAAAGTTGTCCTTTCGTTTTAGACTGGTCTCCAACCAAAGCTTTTAACTTATAACTGTAGGATTGCATAAAAGATGAATTCCTAACTTTCCGAAGGTATCTGTGTCACATGACAATAGCCTAGTGTAGTGCTATTCAATGTAT